AGATCGCCGAATCCGTCTTCCTCGCCTGGCGCCTCACGGGCGCGCGGCACTACCGCACGTACGCGTGGAAGATCTTCAAGGCGATCGAGATGTACTGCCGCCTCCCCGAGGGTGGGTACGCCACCGTCATGGATGTAGACAACGTGCCCGTAAAGTACGATGATAAGCAGGAGACGTTTTTCTTGGTGCGTTGCGTTCCATTTGTTTTTCTTCCAGGCCTCCCTCTTGATTAAAGATACTAACGTTGTCGTGATAGAGCGAGACGCTGAAATACCTCTACCTGACGTTCGCGGACGAGAACGTGTTGGATCTGAATGAAGTTGTGTTTAATACTGAGGTCTGCATCTCCCTTTTGAGGTTTATATACTTCAACCGACGCCCCCTCAGGCACACCCCCTCCCAATATTCACACCCACCATCAAGCCCCGGTTCACAGAATACTCTCCGCTGAAGCCGGCGCCGGGGACACGATACTTGTGATTTCTCTCTTGATCAACTGGATGGATGCCGATGTGGTTTTGTATGTACCATAGTTTTATGATAATAATGGGATTAGTTCGACTGATTAATGACTGGGTGAAATTAACCACGTGCGCGGGCGCCCAAAGTGCAACATGACCCAAGGCTGCTACTGTAAAATGCGCACTCACTGTCCTCGGAGCGCCAAAGCTTATCTCGCTTGTCGCTCGAGGGAGAACGGAGAAGCGGCAATGGTGGCTTTCCATGATCGGTGTGCCGTCCTCCCGCTTCATCTCGCCTGTCCGGACTCAACCCAAGCGACCGCAGCGAAACTCGAACGGTACGAATATCACCGCTTTGCGATTAGGTTCAGCAATAACCCCAGACAAAAATCCTTCAGGCATATTTTACAATAATAGTGGGCGTTTTCGCCTCCGCACTCGTCTCTCACACTGATTTATGACGGTGACCAAGCTCAGGCTCAAGGAATTTGATATTCCGTTAGGTTAGGGGTGTGCCTCTGTGGCCTTTTTGGTGGGGACACGCTAGCGGCCCAACCTCCGATTCTATTGTCAACACGATTCTTCCCTCCAACCCCCCACCGGGGCTTGTACATGTCTGCCTCACCAGCTGTTTGAAGGCGAGAAGCCCAACGGCCGCGGCGCGCGCATTATAGTTTTGCCGCACGATTCGAATCGTTCACAAGACCGCGCTTCCCTAACGGGCCGACAGGCCGACGGCCAATATATATAGGCCAACTTTCAACTTCCACGCGAGGCACCCTTCCGCTCTCATGAAAAACTTCCCCACAATCAAAGCAGTCCGCACGTACATCACCCAAGGTGTTGGCGCTGGCGGCGATTATCACAATGTCCACCGCGGGCACTGGTTGATTGACACTCAAATTAGGTGTGTTCAACTTTGTCTGACGGTCGTGGTTTAATCTCAATTGGTCTGATAGCGTTCCAATGTCAAAATACGCGGAGTACCGTGCATCCCGCACCTCGTGGGGAATCAATGTCCTCGGCTCGTTCTGCGTTGAGATCGAGGCGTCAGACGGAACCACCGGGTTCGCAACAGGGTTTGGCGGCCCTCCGGCGTGCTGGATCGTCGAAAACCACCTCGAGCGGTTCCTCATCGGCGCAGACCCGCGAAATCTCAATCGCCTCTCGGATCAGATGTTCCGCTCCACCATGTTTTACGGGCGTAAGGGACTGCCGGTTGCAACGATCAGCGTCGTCGACCTCGCGCTCTGGGATTTGCTCGGCAAGCTGCGCGGCGAGCCAGTGTACAAGATGATTGGCGGGGCGATCAAGGAGGAGCTCGATTTCTACTGCACTGGCCCGGAACCAACCGCGACGAAGGAGGCAGGATTTTGGGGCGCCAAGGTCACCCTCCCGCATGGCCCCGACGAAGGCGCCGCGGGCCTGCGGAAGAACGTTGCGTTTCTCACCAAGCACCGCGAAAGCGTCGGCGACTTTCCTATCATGGTTGATTGCTGGATGAGTTTGACGGTTCAATATGCAATCGAACTCGCTACAGCCTGTCTCCCGCTCAATATCGAGTGGTGGGAGGAGGTGCTGCCGCCGGATGACATTTCTGGGTACGCTATCATCAAGCAAGCCCTCCCTCACATCAAATTCACCACGGGAGAGGTGGGCTGTATTTTCTCGCAATTCTTCCGCGATTCACCCCATCAACAGCACGAATACACCAAATACGGCTTCCGCGAGCTAATTGCCCCGCGCACTATCAGCATCCTTCAACCGGATGTTATGTGGGTTGGAGGTTAGTGGCATCTCGCTTTGCTGACTTTATTCTTCGATACTTAATCACTGCCTAGGTCTCACTGAACTCCTCAAGATCGCCGCCCAGGCCTCGGCGTATGACATCCCTGTCGTCCCTCACGCAAGCGGCGCATACAGCTACCACTTCGTTGTCAGCCAGGCCAACTGTCCGTTCCAGGTATGTTTCAACAATCACCGTCATACATACCCAGCTCACCTGACGCAGGAATATCTCTGCAACGCACCAGATGGCAAATTCGGCCCCGGGAACCGTGGTGCGCTGCCGCCCGTCTTTGGTACGCTCTTTGAATCGGAGCCAACACCCGTGGGCGGAAAACTCCAAGTAAGTTGATCGATCTCGTTCTCTCCTTTGTGTCTGCTTAACAGTGGCTCATAGGTATCCCAGCTCGACAGCGAAATTGGCGGGTTTGGACTGGTGGTGTCGCAGCGCGCACGTCAGAGTATTCTTGTTCCCGGAAATATCCTCGTGAATCCGGCGGTGGAACGTCCTCTTCAAAAGGCGGGGGAGGAACAGAAGTAGCGAAGGGGGAAACTTCCTCTTTAGAACATAAATGTGAGGTCGACTGATTCTAACTTTTCGTCCAAAAGTTTAAAGCCAACTGTACGCTCATTTCCTCGATAACTGCGTCGATGTAACAGGATTTATTAAGCGACGGTTGCCTATCGAGTCGACCCTGCGCGTAGGATATTCTGAGCCTGCCTTGATCCACAAACAGGTGAAAGTTAAATTTCCGTCCCTGCCGGATACCAGAGCGAGGGACCGAGCGAGACCTATAGTTAAACCATTGTCAAAGTGCAATTGTCAGCGCTTTGACCTTCGCAAGTCTCACGTCACGAGTTTGACGTTTTATCTGCCCAAGCGCAACGCTTGGGCCCTCCCAGATTGTTCTTAAGCCGAGCGGGGCGGTTCAGCTCTTCACTTTGTCTCACATACTCTCACCTCAACAGCTTCGCCGTTAACTCTCGTTCGCTGAAATGAAATCTGAACGCCATCATACTTGTCCATCTTGCAAGGGTCCCGCGAGCCTGTCAATATCCACCGGAATTCGCTTCAACGATGAGGCTACCACTGGCCAGCCCGACATCCAAATACCTGGAGAAGAAGGCGCCGTCAGACTCGCCGCACACCTCGGACTGACTACAGCCGGATTTCATCTCAACTCTCGGAGAAATGCTGCTGACAGGGTGCGCCTTTACTATATCTTGTCAACTCACGTGAATGTTTTGTTTCCCATCCAGTTGCGTGAGCTATGGAGCGAGCTGATGCCGAGCGATAGTGAACAAGTGCAATGCAGGCATCCCATCGTTGTAATTATCCCTTCAATGGCCTAACGACCACTGACAGTAAATCCAGTGCTGCTTTTGCGCCAAATACCTCCCCTCTCTGGTCGCCGCGTACAAGGCAGACCCCCGTCCAACGGGCCCGTACCACGTTATGCTCCTCGGCGTTGCCCAGAGTGTCTACTTTGCTAAATTCATGCGCACTCCGTCTGGAGCGGACCTCTATCATTTCTATGTCTCCCAGGTGTTGATTCCACAATGCTGGGTGCGTGTTCCGGTTTCTCTTCGCTGGTTCTCCTGTATTAAATACATCGACCAGAAATGTGCGGGCCCCGAGATTGTTTCAAGCCGTACTGTCACGCTGTTAATCCTTTCTACCTGTACGCCCCGCATGTTGCGCTGGTGGGATTTCCCTTTGACCTTCGCCTTAGATGCCCACGAATATAAATCTCAAATTGGGGCTCTCTCTGAGCCAATCATCCTGCAGCTCAAGGAATGGCTCCGTGCCAGGGCGGTCCGTGCGATCAAAGTCATGCAACTACTGGAGGCTGCGGCGGTCTCCCGGGACAACGATTTTTATGGCCTCCACGAGGTATGGGCCACTTCCGTTGCGATTCGAATTGGAGTGCTTGAGGCTGAGTTGACATTTTGGGCAGAGCATTGTCCAAACCGGGGCCAGGTGCGGAGCTCGCATTCAACAACAGCTGGGTGCGTGGTACTGATGAGCTTGACCTGAGTAGTACTTTCAACATCTTGGACGGGAAACTCAAACACGATGCGCTTCGGCTGTCGCTCACGCGCCGGGAGACCTTCGATCGGTACGCCGCCCTCCATGAGGATCCAAATGATGCAGAACTGCGGAGGCGCGAGTGCGTGCGATGCCAGACGGTCGCGTATTGTTGCCGAAGTGCGTATACATGTCCCCTCCTTCCACGCCCGCGGGCTGATCTTCGTTTTCCTCAGCGCACCAGAGGGACGACTGGGCGGGTAAGTTTAATCTCTTGCTCGTGAGATTTAACGATTCAACTTCTCCGCAGGTCACAAGGAGAGATGCTTTGAGACGGTTTATTAACTATCACACTGGCAGACAATTATCTGGTGTGCTACGCAACATCGGGTAGTATAGTTCAATTTATAATTTTATCGGGTTCAACCGTGGGAACTGAAATTGCCGATGTCGCGGATCAATCGCGACCTCGTGCATGGCGCGCGCGCGGGCGTCTCTGAGCCTGTCGGTTGTCTCGGCGACACGGCGCGCCGATTCCTGGTCAACAGGTGGGCGATATAGCCCGGAGTGCAGGTTGAGTGTTAGACGGAGTTTTTCAGCTCAATTTTTAGGCTCTGTAACGCTACCATCGAGTTCCTCCACGCAGAGTCCTCGCGGGCGGCAGCAGTGAAAGGGTGGGCAACCACTGGTACTCATGTTACCTGAGGTCCAAAAAGACAAAAATCTGTCCCCGACCGGAATCGAACCGATGTCGCTCGCGGTATGACTTCTGCGCCACAAGCGAGAGTACTAACCACTATACTACAGAGACGACGACGTTAGAGCGGATTGGAAGGTCTTCGACAGCGTAATAGATCAATCGCTGTTTTCTGTCTGAACAGCATGTAAGTAGCTCATTAAAGACCGTGGGATCTGAATAAATTGAAAGAATTCAAACAGAAGCGCTTCTTTCTCTTTCAAAAAGTGCCCTTCAAACGAGCGGGGCTCGGGCCACGGAATAAGCATACACACGCGTGGGCGAAACGAACATGCTTCTGTCGAAATGCGGCCTGGTTCAGTAGGAGTTTGACCGCGCATGTGTATAAATAAACTCGTTACGTAGGAGGAAGAACGTCTCGAGCCCTACTTCTGAATTGTATTCCAACTCAGAGTGCTTGGACCATCCTAGTGGACAAGACTGGCTGTTTGCCAGGTTGTACATGCTGGAGCCAAAAAATCAAAACATCCTATGCGCCGACCACTATTTGGCGGTGTTATGGCGATTTTTGCGACGCGTTCAGACACGTGACCTAATTGCCTCAAAAGAACTTGCGAAACCAGGGATGGCTCCCAGAATGCTTCACTGGGCTATCTCTACGACGCCATCTCATGCCCTGTCGGGATTGCTAAATGTTATGGTCAAAATATTGGTTGAAAAAGGTCACTCAGGCTGAACGTACATGTCAAACGAGAAAAAAATCTTCACTCAAATCGTACCGTCGCCGCCTAGACGTCGGTTCCTTCGAACTACGACTTCCGGTTGTCTCTCGTCCCTCCCTTCTTAATCGTCGAAACGTACCCTTCATTCGCACAATCTCGCCCTGCATCTTCAGCCGCTCTCTAATCTCGTCCTCCAGCCGCACCCCGAGGTCGTTCTCCAACTGCTCCTCCTCCAAAAGCACGTGCAGATCGTCCATATCTTCCTCCGAAAAATTCCACCAGAGATAATCATCGCACCCGCAGGTGTACAAGGGCACTCTTGGGGCCCACTGATCTCCAAAGTCCGTCGGTCGTCCGGTGTAGTCGTTAGTATAGAACCCCGGCGCGCCGTCTACGAGCCCAGCAGACGGGCCGCTGTGTTGCCAGTGAATCGCGGGTGCGGGATCAAGGAACTCGATTGAAATCCCACCCTCCCACGGAGAGAGGATGAGTTCCGGGACGGCGCTGTGCCCACCAAGCTGAGAGCGCTTCGTGAGGAAGGGGGAAATCCAAGCGGGGGCAGTGGTGAACTGATCCTCGACAGTGAGGGAAACTAAATCCGGCCATACGTTGTTGGTGCCGGGTCGCGCGAGGACACGGTAGGTGTCAAATGAGTGGTTTCGGATGATTTCCAAATTCGTGATGGTGCTGCTGAATGACTGGACGAAGGCGAGCCCCCGCTCCCCGAAACTCACGTTCTCTAAGCGCAGAGTCTGAAGGTGCGGGAAGAATAGCGCGGGCAGGTGGTCCTTTGGCGTGTCGTAGATAGCGCCCACGATCTCCAAGTACTCGAGGTTCGGTAAGGAAAATGTGTCGCTAAGATAGTCGAAGGATGTCCCATCCCGGATGAAATATGGATAACCGGTGAATGTAAAGGCACAAGACCGTATCGTGGGGGCGACCAAGGGTGGATGCTGGCCGATTGACATCTCCGGATATAAGTTCCGAATGACGAGAACCGTCAAGGTGGACGAGGTACCTAAGAGGTGGCGAAACGCAGGAGAGTAGACGAGATCTCCTCCCCTAATGTTGTTGTGTTCGATATCGAGCCGGCAGAGGGCGCCGAATGCGGCCAAGTCGGTGGGTCGTACAAAGGCGTTGCTCCTGAAGGAGCAAAAGCGCTCCCCCACAAATAACTCCTTCAACTGAGGGAGGTTGCAGTCATACTGTTCTCTCGCGGAGAAATGAGCAGATTGCAGTCGCGATGCGGTCAGGGGTGATTGTTCCACAAACCCCCGGAACGCGTCGAATTGACTGGGCCACGCGTGAAGAGCGAACGTGCGCCAACGGCCAATGTGTGGGCCCACCAGGGCGAGGACCCTGCGCAGCGGAAGGGGATCTGGTACCTCTCGGACCGCACATGGGGGGCCGAGGTACGACTCTAGGTTGATGGTGTCCAGCGGATATGAGCGGGAGCGGTTTATGCACAATGCTGCCCAGTGACGAGAGCGCGGCCGCTCGGAAATCCGGATGGTCGTCCAGAGTTCCGAGGACCCAAGGGCGACAGAGTGTCATCGGCGACTGACGCGACCAGCGATGACGGCGGTGGGTAGACTCCTGTCAGAACAGGATATCGGGAAGTCGGCGACGAGCTTCAGAATCGCCGCCAGTAATTCATCTGGGAGAGAATCGATGGGAATTGGGTGCATAGAGAGAAATTTAAAGCCAAACAGGGGAGACCGTATATATGACACTTTCCGACTTTCCGCCAAAACGTGGCATCCAGATCGGGTAATTTTTTTCGGCAGTGCCTAGGCGGTGCATCAGTTTGCCGCGATGCCGCGTATACCATCATTCGACGGTGAAGCAAACATTTTGTCGGTGTACCCAGCAGAGCAACGGTTTGCCTTCCTCTTGCCACCCTCAGATAAGGAGGTCGCTCAGATAGCAAATGCAATTATTCTTTATTTTTCATGGGAAGCCCGATGATATACATAAGCTACATAGCGCCAGGTCCAGTGGGCGGGTAAGGCATGTAATAGTAGGGAACGGGCGCGACGAGGAAGACGAGGAAGACGAGGTCGACGGCGAGCGGGAAGATCACACTTGAAAACCGGCCGACAGCGAGGACGGAGCGATAAGAGCACTGTATTGCGCCTCTTCACTTTTTGTTGGGGACGGAGGTAGGGGTGTGGCGAGAGCAAAGGCACGGTCTTCATGAATTTGTTGGACAACCTTAGCGGCGTTGGCGGCAGCACTGGGAGCACCCGCCATGGGTTCTGCAACAACGGCTACACACCTTGCGCGTACAACATCGATTTACTTTGATTTTGCGACACGGACCGTTGCTGCAGGTGGTGGCAGGAGTGGCGCCGGCAACAAAGACAGATGGTACCGCTGGAGTTGCCAACACCATCTCAGTGCGGCGAGGGGCGCAGATGGTGCGGCGGGAGTCGCAGCGAGAGTAGACAGTGGGGTCGGTGCCGAAGCCTGCTCAGTGTTCGCTGGAATCACGCCAAGGGGCCACCAATACCACCAATTGGTTATAGCGGGGTGATCAAGGACGCTAATACACGGAACGAGGCAGAATTAGCCTTGGCGAGCATAAGTATGTTGGAGGTACACACCAGTAAGAAATAACGGCCTTTTCGGGACCCACTTTGACACAAACAAAGCTGGAGAGCACGCCGGCATGCGGGGTGAGGACACTGAAACAATGGATTGTTGATGTTGGGCATGAATATGATGGAGGGAAGGAGAGAGGCGCTGTGCGTTGCCGTCAGACTTCGGCATGTGCGGCAGTCGATGCACTACCCCGCACAGCCGAAAAATATTCCCAGATCGGTGAAACGGGCAAGATGCGCTGACAGTGAATTGAGGCTAGCTAAGCTAAAGTATGGGCTAGCTTGAACGCTAACACACCACACCTAAAACCTAACACACCACACCAATCCCCTTATGATTATAACACTAAGACTAGCGCGTCTTCCTAGTGAGTTCGGGTCCCGAGTCGTAGTATGCGACTGCTGGTTTGATTCCCTAGTGCACTAGCGATGATTTATGGCCTCAACTATCCCAACAAACACTTCAATCTCTGAGCTAGCTCAACCGTTTGACCGAAACAAGTCTTTCCAAGGGATTGGAATGAACGGGTTGGGGTAAAAAGGGTTTTTACTAAGCGGACGTAGATTGCTACGTCGTCCTAGGCGAGGTGATAAAGTGTCTTCTGAAAACTTCCAGTTACGGACTATGCTGCGCCAGCTATTCTCTCCTCTATGACGATCCCAGATCAACAGATATTTGGGTGCCGACTTAGAACCTTGAATCTAAGCTCTTTTCCTTAACACTTGGGCTTATACTGGACCTAGAGGGTTCACTCAAGCTTCGTTAATCGGCCAATGAATCGACCAAGGAGTTCTACCAAAGTGCTGTGCTGGTCGTAGTCCGTTTTACGGGAGGCGTTTCCTAGTCACCCAATGCGTAGCCCTTGCGAAGTCCACCACGAAGTCAACGACAACTCTCAAACTTTCTCTTTGTGCGCTCGGTCCCGATTTATACGTGGAGGTCGTTGCCGCTCACAAGCTCCCAACGCGAGTCTTTGCTTATTAGTTCACACAGTTACTCGTGGATCCAACAACACTGATTCGATTTCTATAGACTTTACAAACGAAAAAGATACTTTATCTCCGCTAGCTAGGCCTGAGCACACCCTTATCGTCGTAACGATGAGCGGGGCATGAACTGGTCTTCAGCGGTATTTACATGTCCTTTTTATACTAGTTGAGAGAAAGAGATGAGGTAAAGTGAAATGAGTAAAAACTGGTCCGTGCAGCTCCGCTACGGCGAGCTAGCCGGGGCTATCGTGCGCTAGGCTTGCCAGACAGTCAGCTAGCTGACCATCTTGGGGGCCTAGGCTGGGTATATTGCCAATTCCGTACAGCTTTTACAGCTCCCGGACTCTCTGTATTTGCAAAACGACTCGGAAAATCCATTCCCGCCATCGGATGCTCACCAATCCTCCGTCTCCACACGGACTGAACATCTAGCCGTTCAGGCATCGTGCCATCTCTTCTGCAATACATCTCTTTTGAGTTTGTTTGGTGCAGCTAGCTGCTCTCAAACGCGTCGCGTCGATCACCTGATCTATCACTCGGCCTAGTCTCTTGCCGACAGTTTCTCCTAGCCGTCGCTATCGCCAGCTAGTCCGATAAACCCGAAGCTAGCGCCAAGTTATTTATGGAACATGGCTCCTAGCCCGGTGCTATCCCGCTAGCTGCACACTGGCTATTCGTATGTCTCTCTTCTTTACGCTAGCTGGTAACTCTCGTTATCCTGTGCTCTCTGGAAGTCGTCTATTGGCGCGCTAGCCCACACTATGAGGTACTAGACCATAGTAATCCTCCTTAATGTGTA